TTTCCCCTTTTATAAGTGGGAATAACAAGCGCCTACTTCACTCACATGGTGATAATGAAAATAATGCATATAAAAGTACTTACAGGTATTGGCATGTAAGCACCCAACAGATGTCCAAAAATATGTTAAGGCATTTTTTTTTAACTACCTTAATAGTACAACTCTTTCTGATTCTGTTACAGACATTAAAGTTTTCTTCCTAATCATGGGGTTTATCCAAGTTGTTGGTCCTTAAAATTAAGCTTGTTTGGCAGTACTCATAAAGTTTCTTTGGCCAACTGAGGCGTTTCTCTGTTTCCAGGAGTTACCTGAAGTATGCTTAGGCACTCCCACTTCTCCCCTTTAGGGAGAAGTAATGCGTTTTTAGGAGCCCTGGTAGGGTAATGGGTAAGCGTTTGGCTGCTAACCGCAAAGTCAGCGGTTTGAACCCACCAGCTGTTCCGCGAGTCTGCTTCCATAAAGATCACAGCCTTGGAAACCCTATGGAGCCCTTCTACTCTGTCCTATAGGGTCGCTATGAGTCAGAATTGATGGCAGTGAGTTTGGTTTGGTTATGAGTAATGCACTCTTAGGTGCCTAAGCAGCACAAAGCTAGCGGTTCAAACTCACCCAGTGGTGCTGGGAAAAAAGGCGTGGTGATCTGCTTCTGTAAAGATTACAGTCAAGAAAACCCTATGGGGCAGTTCTACTCTGTAACACACCGGGGTGCCATTAGTCAGAATCAACTTGATACCAACAGGTTTAACGCATTTTTAACAGAGGGCATCAACTCAGGCAGCGTTTTGCTTCTACATCAAAGACATCACAACTATCTTTTCTCTCAGCAGAAACGATTCAAACATCTGCATTTGGACAAAATTTATACTTGACAAAGCCCTGTCATCAGGATTGGGACTTCACTTTGAGTAGTAGTGACAGCTGGCATCTACTGAGCAGTCACTGCGTGCTTGGCACTGTTGTAAGCACTTCACACGTTAGCTCATTTAGTACTTTTACAGGGAAGAACGGAGCTGCAGAGAGCTTACATAATTTGCCAAAATCATATAACAGGCAAGTGGAGAAGCCAGGATTCAAACCCATTCCCTCCAGAGGGCACTCCCTCACCTCAGTATGATCTACCACCTCTCCTATTATCATAGTTATACCAGCAAATAAAGCAACTCAATTCCAGAAACGAGGAATGTTGACTCTACGCACAATCCTAAGTTCTCTTACGTTAAGTCATCTATTAATGCAGACTCAATAGAAATGTGAAAACTGGTAATGTCACATAACAGGTCTACGTTGAATTTTGTCATAAAATTATACACCAGTTGAAAATTTCCTATTACATACCAGTGATTATTTTACACCAACAGGAAAGAATTTGTTTTGTTTAAATTGAGTGAGTTAAAACCACACACCCAAAGGCCACAATATTTAATAAATCATGGGAATATTATTTAGTATTTCAGTATACACCAAAATGTTTAATTATGATAAGCAATTATATTCACAATTGTGTTTAGGATTTTTTATTCACCTTAGCAGACTGCACAAAAGGTTAACCAAAAGACAAGAAATGCAGTATTTTTTAATACACCACTAAGGACCACAGAATCACCTGTATGCCATCTAAACAAGAAAAAAACACAGCAGTTAATTTCAAGTAAGATGTTCCTCAGTTTCAAGTGTTAAAATCTCCACTTGAGGTTCCTTGATTATACAATTAATGTCTACAGCAACTTATTTTGCTTCTAGGAAAAATGACATTTCATTTCAACCACATATATGAAATGCTATATTCTAAAGTCATTCAATACCAGAGATCTTGATATTTAATGTTTAAATGAGATGGAGAAAACGAAGCAAACTCTGACACTCTTACATCTTAAGAACATCTTCTCCTACATTCTACAAATTATACCCCCCCAGTTTCCTGCTGCCAATATCAACAGATACTATGTTATTACTAAAAACCAGCAGCACTGGCCAATGTTTTAAAACAAACATCGCCGACTACACAGACAAACTATCTGAAATCAGTTCACAAAACCAAATTCTGCTTCCTAATAAAAACCTAACAAATACTTAGGAGACTATTTTTTTCTTTATACTTTTCTGAATTATCAAGTATTTTATGGTAACAATTTTTACAAATCAGGAAAAAAAAATCAAAATGTTATTAACAGTGTAGTCAAACTCGAAGCTCATTTTGCAAAGCAAGGCATACACTTTAAATAATAATAACTGCACAATTAAAGTTGATGCATGGGCTTAAGTTTCACCTTTGTGGTGTGGTGAAGGATAGTTCAGCAATTCAATGCAAATAAATGGCAAACTGTAAACACCAAAACAAAACAAACGAAAGCAACAACTAGTGAAGAAGTTACAATAAAAATCTTTATTTAGGTTTGGTCAGTACAGGAAGATATATTAGAGTCACAGAGCAATATGCATTAACAGGATACAACAGTTCATAAAAACCGAGCAACTATGCACACACATTTCTTAAACATTCAGTTACCTAAAGAGAAAATGCACAGATGTATGGTGGAAAAAACTGTATCTAACACTGAAACTACTATAGGACTCCATCAACAAGTCCAACTTTTAGTGATAAAACTACTGTACTGGGCAAACTTGGCAGTCATAAACCACATCTACAGTAACAAGTCTGACTGTGGTGTAAGTATAATAACAGCGTGAGTAAGGATGCCCTCACACAGCACAGGTTCTAGATATACACAGATTTCTACAGACATCATTGTTATACTTTAAGAAAGATTTCCATTTACAACTTCACATTAACTCATATAAAAATAACTTGACCCTAACACAAAATGTCCTTTTAGCAACATTCAAAGTAATTAACTGTTACAATTTCCAAAGTGGCAAAGGTACTGAAGCAAAAAAAAAAAAAAAAAAGGGGGGGGGAGGAAAAAAACCCACACCCACAAAAAAGGCAGATTGTGACAAAAGTATGCATTAATTTTCTGGACAGTATCTTTCCTCAAATTAAGTGACACTGTATAAAAATTTGCTGGAAAAATATTACAAAACTGAATCCTGTACATTCACACTTGAGTCCAAGCCATTGTGCACGTGGCGGGAAGCCACAGTTCGGTTCCCTTTCCCGCTCACTGCTTTCTCCTCTTGAGGGTCAGGATTGGAGTCTGTGTCATTTGAGTGGTGTGTGAGAGAGTTTTCACTGCCCGTGGGAGAGTCTACACTTTCATACCCCGCACTGAGTTGGTTTACGTAACTACCACCTCCTCTGCCAGTTCTCTCTTCAGAGCTGTTGGAGACCTTATTCCCATTCCCTGGAGAACAAGGAAAGTCATCCTCAGTTGTGTTCCCCTCCCTGTGAAATCCAGACCCAGACGTCCTCTGATGGGAGGAGCTGCCGTTACTTGGTCCGTTAGCCAGGCGACTGCAGTCTTTACTGGCGGCCTCTGCCGGCTCCACGAGCTCAGAAGATGTAGTCCTGCTGGTACTCGGGGCGGAGGCTTGAGACTGCTGCTGCTGGTACTGAGCCAACTGCTGGCGCGTCTCCTTCAGTTGCTGCTGAAGAACGAGAATGGTACTCTGCATGCCCTCCACTTCTTCGTCAAGTTGAATAATGAAGTCATTCAGCTCTGTGCAAAGGAGAGTCAAACCTACTTTAATATCTCTTATAACGTGTTTTAGAATATTTTAGTGGCTCCCACGAAGCCAGGCATTTATTAAATGAATAAATTTAAGTCTAAGTTCACTACAGTATGTCTTAAAAATTATGCTTAGAATTTTAAAACAGTGAGGCAAGAACAAGTTTGTTTCTGGGGAAATCAGCTTAAAATCAAATATACTACAACAAGAGTGTTTATATTGACCCAAACCACCTATCTAGCCATGTACAACTGGTTACAGCCAGGAAAATCTGACCCAAGTTTACCTATGGGCCCACATGGCCAGACCCGTTGCTCCCCCCCATCCCCCGGCCAGTGTCTGCCTGAGCTCCACAGCAGCTCAGCCCTTCAGGATACAGCATGGTACACTACTCTAACATTCCAAAGAGCCCTACTTGGTTGCTGGCCTTGCTGTAATCAGGGGCTGTTCCACATACAAGAACACAAGTCACAGAAAATCATTCTTGAAGATTGTTAACAAATTCTAAAAGGGCTTTCAAAAATAAAACACAAAAACCCCACAAATGCCTCACTGCCATATAAAATCAACATACTCTGTTTACAAGTAGTAAGAACTAAGAACTATCACTTTGAAAAAGTACTTTAAAGATATTACTTTGGCTACTGATCTTCACAATTAACCATCATATCAGATAGACTATGAGTTGGAATTGACTGGATGGCAATGTTTTTTTTGTTTGTTTGTTTAAAATACCAATTCTCAATTTAAACTTACAAAGATTTTGGGTGTTTTCCTTACTATTAATCTTCCTCACAAACAGGAGAAACAGCACAGATGCAGCTATACTTACAAAAAAAGGAGCTGACTATTATGATTGGTTTACCTCAACAATTTTAAATATTAAATCTCTTATTCACTAAACAGGACCCACAAATCAATTATCTATTTCAGATCACTGGGGAACAGTCAAATATTTCCAAGATTTACTTAGAGAAACTGGCTAAATGAAGATATTCTCCCTTTTAAGCACTGCATATAAATATGTACATCTATGTAATGTTTCAGTAATACAATGGCCTTTCTATCCTTCGTCAACCTCTACCCCCGCACCCCCACCTCAATAAAAACTATGTATGAAGTTTGCACAATAAACAATTTGGAGGGTGGGGAAGAAAAAAACAAACAAACAAACAAACTACAATTAAATGATTTTGTTTGCTCTTATTTTTTTCTCAACTAGAAATGTTCCATTCCTAATTTTAAATAACCACAGGTAGAGGTTAGCATGTATAGAATCTAACCTATGATATTCATGCCTGGCAGGTTTTGAAAGCCAGTGCAAAGTTAAGCAAACTTTTCAAAAAGTCCCTTACCATCCTGACTGCTTTTTAGCTCCTCACTATATTTCTTCTGTAAAGCCAACTCTGCTTCAAGCTGTGCAATACGTCCCTGGGACAGCTGCCTCCCAAGCTCTTGATTCTCCTGGATAAGCATTCGACACTTCGCCATTAACTTTTTGCCTGTTTGGCTGTAAAGGAAAGAGCCATTCATCACAAAATGAAGACAAAACCCTCTACAAGCTTCTCTGCTTACAGTTAACATAGTGATCAATGTAACACGCACAGAACATGACTACGTCACAGCACAAGGCCGCCCTGTAATTACCAGCTTCTTCTCGGGAACACGTCCATCTTCTCCATTTTAGTATTTTGCCAAAACAGCAGTAAAAATAAAACCTTAAACAAAAAGTGCCCAAATGGCCACTTTTGTTTCTATTAATAATTGATTCTGAAACCTATTTAACTCTAAATTATCATTTGAAATATAAACAGGTTAATTAACACACATCTTGAATATACCAGTATTAATAAATACTAAGGTACTTATTAGCTTTATTGAATAGTAAAGTTCTTGAAAAGGCATGTGCAACATCAATCACAAATATAGACTTCTTTAAAATACATAATACATAAAAATCAGTACCTATAAATAGAAATGAATAAGAATACTCACTCTTGCTAGAAAAGCATTTAATAAAGATTACTCTTAATACCCAGTTCTTCAGTACACTCATCTTACACACTTCTCAAGAGTATATCTATTGCATTAAATGAGGCATACTCAGTAATCTTTTTTTTTTTTTTTTAATTTAAAGCCTTAAGGCTCTTTATCAATCCCTCATTTAACTTCTCTTATGTGTTACTTGTATTTTTGAGCTGTCTTACATTGGGACGCAAGTTGCAACACGTTTCATGTTTTTATCAATTTAATATTGATATGTAGTTAAGATTTTATTCACGTTATAAAAGATTATCCTAGGTACACAAATATAAGATAGGGGCTACTTATCATAAACAATTCAACTATATAAATATTTACTAAATTAGGAGTACCATACCAATTGGTTTCCAACTGCTACTGCAACATGTTATAGGAACCTATATACACATGAACAACAATCCCAAAACTGTAATGAAATGTTAGCATAAATTTCTCAGTAAAACTTAACAGCTTTTCTTTAGCCTCAGCAATAACCACAGAGATTACCATCCTTTTTAAAGGACTCTGATTTAGTGATATATTATCTTTGAGACTTGGATAGGGATAGTTTAATATTCTTGTAATTGGGTTAAATCCAGAATGATCTTCCTGGTGGTGGTTGTTATTTACTTTTGCTATTTCCTTCTTTCAGTAGGGCTTTCAATTGCCTAATACATTACTTCAGAATGTGTCTGATCCTATCAAGCCTTACAACTTTAAAAATGGGAGCACTCTTGGAAGCAGTGCTGTAAGGTGCTTTTATCAAGCATGTGCTAACCTGATATAACTCAAGCAAAATCTGTCACTTCAGTTTCCTTACAAACATATGTGGTACAGTAAAACCTGGATCACTACTGTTCAAAGGAACCTAAGGACACAGCCGTGAGTTAGCACGTGGCAAGGGTTTGAGTCTTTTCTATGGTAACTTCTTAGCTGATGTTGTTGTTTATTGCTACTGTAGCTCCATTTTCCCACTAGTGCCCCAGACTTCCCCTCTGCTGAAAAGAGCTTAGGAACCAAATAAAGAAGAAATAGGAAATCGACGCCATCGTCAGCGACAATGGCATTCTCCATTTACTGCTGATGCTCCCACAACCCACAGCTTTATTTTCTGGCACAGTGTTTTATTTTCTAGCATCAGTGTTTTCCAACCAACCTGAAATTTCTTTCCTTTTATGTGAATTTAATGAAGATTAGAAATACACCTGTAAAACTAACAGATTAATTTGTGACCTAATTTAACCCCGTATAAAATATCACAAATCCTAATGCAAAGTGTTTCATTTATAAAAATTCATACCTTTTCATAAATACCTGTTTCTGAGATAATCCCTATCATTTCTAAAATTTGTGATTACTAAAACAAATCTTTAAAAAAACTGTGGTTCTTTAAATATTCTGTAATCATTTTATTAACTATGTCATATAAAATTCACATTATACTCACATTATATCACAAAAATAAAAAATGAGAATTCAATTAAAAATATCTTTGGAATAACTTTTTAAAATTAGAAAAAAAAATCCAACCCAATCCTAAAATAAAAGAACCCACAAAGCAATTAGAAAATTCTTCAAGGTAAAAATTTATAAAAAACAATGCTTTACTTATTAAAGGGAAGAGACCCAGGCTCTTTTGGAGACATGTACACACAATTACCTAAATGATTCAATGCAAACTGAAAACTGCCAAAATACTGAAACCCATCTCTCTAAAATGTATGCACTGTCACAGGAATTAAATATTTTAACTAAAGTAGAAAAGATAACTAATTTAGGGAATCTTCTCCCTCAAAATTAAAAGCTGAGAATAGGTAAGTGAAAGAAAACAATTGTACTCAAATTATTCCAAAGTGCTGATTGACCATTCGTTCCAAATTAACAATGTATTTATAGTACCCCATATACTCTGGTTTATAGCCTATTTTTTACAGAACAAAAACTTATCTGTAGATGGTTAAATTATGATCATTAATATAATGAAATTTTATATAACTATTAAAAATAATCTAGATGTGCTAAAAAACAACGGAAAAAGGTCCAAGGTATTAAGCAAAAAAGACCCTAAAAACCCCCCAAAAACCCACACACACACAAAACAAAAAAGCTGCAAAACATCTGTTGTTATTAGCTGCCGTCGACCCAGTTCCGACTCACAGCGACCCTATGTACAACAGAACGTCTGTACGTAACATCCGCATGTAAGGTATAATCACGTGTTTAAAACCAATACTCATAAAAAGATTTTTTTTGTCTGTATAAATTATCTTGATGAAATCCAAGAAATTTAACAGTGGTCACTGTTCCTGGGGATTAGAATGGGGAAGGTCAAGGTCATGTTCAGGAGTGACTCTCACTTTTCATCTCTACTTTTCTCCACTGTTTTAATTCTACACATGAGCATGTATTATCTTATTAATTAAAAAAAGAAAAAAGACCTCAAGGTGACTGTTACCTAAGTGGCAAAGAAAGACGCTGGCTAAATTTGAGTACATGGTAATAACACACTTTATGAATTCCTTCTTGACCTACAATACTTAGGCCATTTCCACTGAGACCTTAAATGGCATAAAAGATATACCAAAGTCTTAATGCTGGCACAGTAAGCTCATTTCAAACAGATATTACTTACCCTCCAGCCCCCACAAACAGTGAGAATTTTAGAAGCAGATTTCTTGCTGAAGTCACACAAACCACTTCTTCAACCCACCCCCTGCCCCACAAATCAGTTCCCTAGAGCGCAAACGTACAAGATACTTACAAGTGATCGGAATGATTAAGAGAACTTAGTCACCCTTGTTTAAACTGCACTTAACCGCGGGGACAAGCTGGAACATTTATCTTCCACTCATCTTAGACTCCATTATCACCAAGTGAAAATTCAAATTGGTGCCTTAGAGAATGAGCTGACGAAAAAATTCACCTCCAGGATTGGATGGAAGCATGAAGAAAATAATGCCTCATTTATCTAAATGAGCAAACAAATTCGCTAGAAATGATCACTAATACCTTCTTCAATTCACGTGTCTCACTTAGGCCAGCCCACAGTTCAACACAGACTCTCCCCAGTCTTCTGGCAGCCACCCTGTGAAGCTGTCCCACATTAATTTCTACTGCAATCTCTTGGGATAAAGTGTCAAAAAGTAACAAGTGTCAAATCTCCTTCTCTGTTATGGTACCAGCTGGAAAATAGTAGGTCTTTTAAATGAGACACAGCCTTTTCCTTCACTCTGAAGAGCACAGCAACAGTTTTTCCAAAATCAACCTGCTCTTCACAGCCCCCCAAATTAAAATGTTAAGTACAACAAAATCATCATAGTATTCCTTGAACTTTTAAAAAACAACTATTTCAAGGCACATTTAATATCATGAGTTCAATACAAAAGGCCCACATACAATGAAGGAACACATTTCCTATTAACACGACAATTCTCTTTCAACATGTGCCTGTTGAATGGAATGGGGATTTAATCAATTTCACTACTGAAAAAAATAAAATAACGCAGGAGTCTCATCACAGCCAATATCCTTATACAATCTAGTTGTGAAATGAATGTTATAATGCTTCAAACAGTTTAAACCTGAATTGATAACCACACCTCTGTGTTTGTACGGTCCTTGGTAAGATTGTCTACAGCATCAGCGACCATTCAAAGAACACACCATTGATTAAAACCATTGAATTGAGGCTCAATCAAGTAACACAGAGCCCCAAACTAAATGGTTAAGTGTATGAACTACTTGTACTGACATCTATTAGTTGATTCTCTCATGACTATTAAAGTTGGTTCTTAGCAAATAAACCCTTTAAAGGCAAAATTACCTCATTCAAGTTTTGACCCAGAAGTTCAACAACAATCATAAAGTCCACAGTCTTATTGGCAAAGCTAATATACAGTGTCTCTAAGTCACTATGCTCAAGGTTAAGAGCGATGCATATTCCATTTTTACATTTTACTGGAATTTTACATGTTCAATTCGTGATTTAAAATCTCTAGGTTTTCATTCCTCCAAACTGTCTGAAGACACAGTGTGCCACAGACTTAAGACTTCTGCTTCTCCCTCTATTTTCTTCAAACAGAAACATTTCTCAAGTGTCTAAAATTCCTAGAAGGGGAATTTTTCGGAGGTAGCCACTTCTTTGGAATAGTCCGACGCCATCGGGCCTCTGAAGCAAGGGGAGGGGGAAGAGAAAAAAGCTGAAACACAAGGTTCATCTGGTAAGTTTTACATTAACCATTACAAGCTGGACAGTATAAGAATGTGGCTTTTTTGGCTCAAAAAGTCTGAGTCTTGGTGTGGAAAAGAGTACTTGGCTGTCCCACCACAGCTTTCTCGCAGTGGGACTGTCAGGGAAGTCTTGACTGGGGAGTATGATTTGTTTACCTATCAGGCGTAAACTTCCAGGCACTCAGTTCATTTTGGGCTTGTTCCAGTTTGTCTTTAGTCTGTTCCAGTTCACCTTTCATTTTTAGGAAAAACAAGTTGATCGCTGGGTCTACCATTGCTGATCTCAGTTGGGCAACGCTAGGCTGCTGGACTTGCTTGAGGTACTGGATTTGAGTCTGTGCAAAACAAAAGGAACAGTTACTACCAAATCAAAGGAACACATGTAAGGAGGTGGCGGAAAATCTCTTCCATTCACTGGACTTACTAACTCAATTATTAAGCTCCTCCCCTTTGATCTTACAAATCCTCTAGGAAAACACAAATTAAAAACAACCATTTATTTAAGGTTGTTAGTGTAGGAATTAAGGCCATTTGATGGCATTCCTGTACTTGGAGACTTTAAATAAAGAGACCAGCTACATCTTACTTTGCAACCAAAACAGTACACACACACACACAAAATATATATATACAGACTCCTGAAGCCCTCTTAAAAAAAAAAAAAAAGTCAAGTTTAATCATAAAGATGAAGTTTAAGACTGTATTTATTGTAAACTGGCTAAAATGGACAGACTTGAAAATACTTGAAGTTATATCGCAATTACAGAATTTTCACAATAAAAATGTAAAATAAGGCAGTATATTTAACGGTAAAATGAGATGAGATTTTTATCATCTTAAAGCTAAAATAAGAATTATGTAAGAGTAGAGTGAGGTCTTTTAGTTTACTTGTTCTAATTTGTGCCTATGGAAATTATTCTATGTAAAAGTTCCCTAAAAATATATCAGGTATAACATTAAAGTTCAAAACACATTTGCATTTCTGTATTTAAAAATATATAGTACTTATATTTACATAAGTTGGTAGTACAGCTTTATAAAAGCAAAACTTTAGAGCACTTTAAGCCAAAATAAAGTATACGTTCATTTTTTCCCCCTTCTGAGTAGATTTAAATCACATAATTGTAAAGTTGGAAGATGACAGATCTTGTTCAAACAGCTTATTTTTGAGAGATTAAATAAGCCAACTGAACCAAGATACAATTAGTTTAGTGCCAGAATTAGGACTAGAATCCTAGTCCTCAGGTCTCCTGGGGTTTTTCCCACCATACCAGAACCCTCTACTTACAGATTAAACCTCCAATTTCCACTTCAGTTGTACTATTTATTAGCACTAAAAATGCATTTCCAAAATATGAAATACAGTTTATTAGTATCAACTTCATCACTTTCTTCACACCCAAAGCAGATCTGGTTCAAGATATCCTGTTCCACACTATGGCTTAAATAGGATTAAAGTTAAAACTTCATGAACAGCTGATTTCTACCATACATTTATTCAAAGCATAACATACTAAGTGGATTGGGAATATGCTTAATACTGTTTCACTGAGAAATAATTTTTCATTTAGGGAGATTTTTAAAAGTAACTTATTTTAAACAAAGAAGTACAGCTGCTTATTCAATTTAAGGCCAGCTGCTAAAATGCTTTAGTAAGAGCAAGTATGCCATACAGTGTCCACCACAGACTCACATCACTAATGAAGGTACTGCCTCTGGAACACTGACGACTCAGTTACTGCTCAGGTTTACAAAGTCCCAAGAGGAGGGAGATTTATTTAGTTATAGTAAAATGTGATTGTAGCTTAGTTTCTGATAATGGTCTTATTTCTAAGCCATATTTATCATCAATATAAGAATAAATTAGAAACATAATAAAACATCTCCTCCAGATAAGAAATGAAGTAATACTTGAGGATGTAAAGGCTCAAGGGTCAGTATTTCTTTAGTCAGATATAGCTAAAGAGCTTAGTTCAGTTTCTTGGCAGTAAGTTTCAAAAAAATTTTAATTATAGCTTTCAGAGTCAAATAATTTTCTTCTCCATTCATTAACAGTATGGTATACAGTACTTAATGATAACACCTGATATGATATAAACATTCTTTCGAAGTTATTATTGCCATAAGTAGCTAGTACATTATTTATCAACATTATCTTCACTGTCACTAGGGTAAGCGGAACAAATTTTGCAAAAGAACATGATTATATCTCCTGGTAGAGCAAAAGGAGCTTATCAAAAGGTGTAAGATCCCATGTTTTCCGGGGGCATACCAACAGCTTAAGCTATTAGAAAGAGAGGAGCAGGAAGAGATGGGAATCATTTGTTCAATACAGTTGCTATTATCAACTTCCAATACTTAAAGGACATATTGAAGGATGGGAAAGAATTTGAATGAAAGATAGATCTGACAAATGAGCTGATGAAAGCTATTACACATAGGAAATATCAGTCATGAAAAAGAGGCAAAATCTGACTAGAACAAATTTCATGTGCTAGGGAAGAGAACACTGAATCAATGTTTTAAAAGTCAGTTTTATAAATCAGTTTTATGCCTAAAGCCATTCTGGGTCAAATGGCAAAAAACTAAGTGAAAAAGAGGAATACCACCAAGAAGAGCAAAAATGACAGATTTCATCTATAAATAAAATAAGCAGTTAAACAAATATTTTAAAGAGCCAAGAACAAGAACTTTTTCTCTGGCAAACTTAAGCCTTACACTCAAAATTAGCTAAATAAAGATTGCATGTAGACAAAGAAATAATTACACAATCAAAAGATCAAAGACATGAGTTCACATGCCAGAGCAAACAGAAGATCTGTAGAGAGAGATTTCTGAAGTAGTATTTTATTTCTTCTATGCTTAGCTTAGACAGTCCCTGGGTGGCGCAAACAGTTAAGCGCTTGACTACTAACCAAAAGGTTGGCAGTTCAAACCAACTCGGAGGCACCTAGCAAGAAAGGACTGTAGTTTTACTCTGCACACATGGGGTCGCCATAAGTTGGAACTGACTCAAGAGCAATGAGTATGACGAGCTGAACTGAAAACACTGAGGGTAAAGTTGGCAAACCATTTAAAAGGGCAGGTATCGAATACAATCCTGACCACTTTTTTCCCATTCTCAAGAGGACACGATGAGGTGTCCCTTCCTCCTGCTCAAGGTCAATCCCTCCACCTGCTTGTTTAACCCTATTCCCTCCTGCCTCCTCTAGTACCTTACTCCCATTCTTTCTACCCTTTAAGTCTTGTATCTTTCAACTCCCACTTGACAGATCCTTTGCTGTTTTTTGTTGCCAAACGCACTGGCCCCGACTCTTGGCTACTTTACACATCAGGTATACAGGATGAAATGCTGCCTGGTCCTGGGACATCTTCACAATGGTCGGTATCTCTTGAGACCACTGTCCCGGCTATTGTGTCCATCCATCTCACTGAGGGTTTCCCTTGTTTTCTTTGGTCCTCTACTTTTAGACCCCATAAATTTTCCAAAGTGTTTCATTTTTTAAAAACTCTCTCACCACTCAAGTCACTGCAATCTTGTTTCTGCTCAAACCTTCAATTAAAGCAGTTTTCACTAAAGTAGCCAATAGCCTCCTAATTGCTGAATTCAATAAGCACTTTAAAATTCGTATTTTACTGAACCTTACTTTTGCACTTGACACTGTTAATCATTCTCATTGCCTTATTTTGGGGGAAGCTTTGTATTTCCTCAGTTACCCTAAAACTATACTTTGTTGCTCTCCTCTTTTAATTTGGCCTTCTTACTAAGAAGCCCTGGTGGTGCAGTGGTTAAGGGCTCTGCTGCTAACCGAAAGGTCAGTAGTTTGAACTCACCAGCAGCTCTGTGGGAGAAAAGACCTGGCGATCTACTCTTGTAAGGACTGCAGCCTAGGAAACCCTCTGTCTTACAGGGTTGCTATGAGCTGGAATTGACTCAACAGCACACAAGTTCTAGCGTAGCAGCACCATCACTCACCCTGTCACCCAAAATAGGAACCCGAGAGCCATCTGTGATTCCTTCCTAAATTTCCTCATTCCTTCCCCAAAAGCATCCAACTGATCAAGTCCTGTAGATTATGCCTCCAAAAATATTTTGAAATCTACTCCCCTGACCCGCCGCAACAGAGGCCTAATTCAGGCCTTACCATCTCTTGTGGACTATTTCAAGAGCCTTCCAAATGATTTTCTTGCCTACAGTCTTGTTCCCCTCAAATCCATCTTCCAGACTCAAGCTAGAGTAATGTACCAAAACCATAAATCTCATTAGCCACACAAATCTCCTGGCTAAAAATTCTTTGGTGGCTCCCGTTCACATACAGAATAACATCCACGACCCCTGATTCTATCTCCACTCTTCACAAGAAACCTCATACACCACTAAAACTGAACTGCTCTCATCTGCCGCTTGCAATCTGGCCCTTTTCTTGTGTTTCTCCTCCTACTACCCTCTCTGTCTGCCAAACCTCACTCCATTATAACTGAAAAAAACAGTGAGTTTTTCAGCTGGCCTGTATGGGGTAGAGCTGTAAAAGATACGGCTGGAAAAAACTTAGCTTCCAGTTGATATGACCTTAAAATTCAGGTTGAGAAGACAACAGGGTAATGAGGCATTACCGAATACTGTGACCAGGCATGATTATGATCAAAGTTGCCAGTGTACACAGGCTAGGAGGAGAATCATAGAGATGAGTCAACAGCCACCGTTAGGGACTGAAGTGTGCCCCCGAAAGTATGTTGAAGTCCTGACCCCTTGTACCTGTGTGACTGTGACCCTGTCTGCAGATGACATTAGTTAACGACCTCATACCAGATATGGGTGGGTCCCAATCCCTTCTGAGTGGTGTCTCATAAAAAGGGAGCGACACATCCACATGCAAAAACAAACAAACAAACAAACAAACACAAATCAATCTAAGATACAGAACTTACGTCTTTCACAAAAATTAACTTAAAATGGATCACAGATCTAAATTTAAGACACAAAACTATACTTCTACAAAATAACATAAGCGAAAACCTAGGTGACCTTGGGTCTGGTGATGACTTTTGAACATATGAAATCAAAAGGAGAATCCAGACAGAAAAAATTGGTAAGTTGGACTTCATTAAAATAAATTTCTGTGAAGGACACTGTTAAAAGAATGAAAAGACGAGCAACAGAATCGGAGAAAATGTTTGCAAAACACATATCTGACAAAGGGCTTGTATCTAAGATAGACAAAGAACTCTCAAAACTCAGCAATGAGAAAAAAACCCGATTACAAAATGGGCAAAAGATATGATCGAAAACTTCACCAAAGAAGATATACAGATGGCAAGTAAACTTATGAAAAAACGTTCAACATCATATGTTAATTGCAAATCAAAAACAGATACTACTACACACCTATCAGAATGGCTAAAATCCCCAACACTGACAAAACCAGATGCTGGTGAGGATGTGGAGCACAGAAACTCTCACTCGTTGTTGGTGGGAATGCAAAGGTTTAGCCACTTTGGAAGACTGTCTGGCCGTTTCTTACGAAGCTAAATACTGACCTACCATATGATCTAGCAATCACACTCCTAGGTATTTATCCAATGAAATAAAAATATGTCCACATAAAAACCTGCACCTAAATGTTTACAGCCACTTCACTCTTAACTTCCCAAAATGGAAAGCAACTAAGACGTCCTTCAACAGGCAAATGCATCAACAAACCGTGGTACATCCCATACAATGGAGTATCATTCAGCAAAAAAAAGAAATGAGCTATGAAGCCATGAAAAGACAAGGAGGAACTTTAATGCATATTACTAAGGAAAAGAAATCAATCTGAAAATGCTATATACTATATGATTCTAACTATATGTATATGACATCCTAGAAAACACAAGACCAGAGACAAAAAAGTTTAGTGGCTGTCAACGGTTCAGGGGAAGAGAGGAGGGAAAAGTGGTGAACAGGTGGAGCACGGGACATTTTTAGGACAGTGAAACTATTCTGTATACTTTAACGATGGACACATGACATATTATGCACTTGTCAAAACCCACAGGACTGTACAACAGAAGCAACCCTAATGTAACTATAGACTTTAGTTTATAGTAAACTATAGACAATGTTAACAATATTGGTTCATCAGTTTTAACAAATATACCACACAACTGCAAGGCGGCAACAATAGGAGAGAAAACTGTACTTTCTATGCAATTTCTCTGTGAACTTAAAACTGTGCTAAGAAAAAAAGTATTAAAAATGAGGGGAGTCACACACGAGGTGAGGACAAACGCCATGTGGTGACAGAGGCAGACGTATCCATAAGCAGCAAAGGCACACCATGGACTGCCAGCTGCCACCAGAACTAGGAGAGGCATGAACAGCTACTCTCTCAAACTTTCAGAAGAAACCAACACACCCAGTACCCTGAATTTAGACTTCTGGTCTCCAGAACTGAGAGAAAATGCATTTCTGTTCTTTAAAGTCACTCGTCACGTGGCATTCTGTTATGTTCATGGCAGCCCTGGAAACTAAGACAGTTAGATATTGTCAAGGCCAAGTGGTAAGGACACCTCAGCTGGTGTGTCAAGAGTAGAGATTCAACAAGAGAGAGAATTCAAGAGACACTCTGATGTTATCAGATATTACAACTATGGGCTCCAGTCATTAAATAATCATTCACCTTTTACTGAGCAGGTGTTAGTAGCACTTTGAAGGTAAAATTCACATATGATTTATCCTTTGCATGGACAAACATGTAGCACAGTGCCAGGCACACAGTGAAACCTAAAACTTTTTGAATGAATAAACGGTAGGACCTAGACTCCTGAATATTAGCAAAACAAGGAAAGAATTAAAAGGTTTTGAGACCGGATGTTTGAAAGGTAGTGCCCACTCCCTTAGATATGGAAAGCAAACAGAGGGGGAAGAAAAAAACTGGGGGAGGAGGGCAGGGAGAGGAGACATAAGAAAAAAATTATTTGTATTTATTGGTGGGACCACTGGGAATCAAGTGTCCAGGCCCACCCCGCCCCCTCAAAAAAAGCCACCGGTGGGAATGACTGGTTGTTGAACAGGACTGTGTCTCATATGCTGTTACTGTCTCCAGTGACCAGAATAATGCCTTACATATTAGAAGATCCTAACCCATTCCGAATGGGGGTTAAAATACACAAGAGTTAGAGAAAATTTAAAACATTAGATACAAGGATAGAGTTGCCTCTAATTTCGGAGGGCATAATTTATATATACAAATGCTAGATAAAGCTAAGACAGATGACACTAGATACTAGATGCTAGACAGCTAAGACTGTCAAAGACAGCACAAAGTGAGTTAAATTCAGCCAAACCTAGATGATCACATGTATCACTAGGTTCCAGTTCGCAGACACAGTGAAGAATACAAATGAAACCCATAAGAAAAAGAAGACACAGAAGTTGCTCACACTAGGAAAAGTAGTGTTATGCACAGAGGGGTCAAGAGTAGAAATGAATCAGAGGGCTTGCCTAGAGAGTGACAGAAAAGCAGCAAAGAGCAAATGCTATTGATTATACTCTCAGAAGTCAAGCCAGCTGAAATATATTGGATTAAAATACTAATTCTCATAAAGCCATGGACATTTCAGAGAATGACTTAAAATCTTTGCCTTCTTGGTCACATACAAAAATTTTTCAAATCCAAGTAAGATGCTATTTACCAAAATTTTACATTTAGCATATTAATACCTCAAAATGTATCTACCTTAAAAAAATATGGAATTGTATTTGGCATCAAGTATAATTAACATGTAATAATGTGGGTTAAAAACCAATTCTTCAACTAAAGACTTGTGAAACTTGAAAATACTTACAGTACACTCTTGCATCTCTTGTTCCTTGGTTGCTAGTCTCATTACAAGGATGTTTTCCCTGCGTGCAGACTCTTGCTGTTGTTGCTTTAGTTTTTCTTCAGACTCCCTTAAGCCAGTTACATCATTAGCTGATGACAAAGGAAAAAAATTCCAAAACATTATGAAATATAATTTCAAGATCAAACTGAACTAAACAAAAGCCTGAAGAAGTTCTAACTGCCTCGGTCAAGGACAATAAAAACCAGGGTCAAAAAATTTATCATCAAGTCTTTACTTTCTAACCCAACTAATTTTATAGTAAGGGAATTTGTTCCCAATCACGAGAACTGCTTTAGGAGGCAATGGTGTTATGTTGTTGTTGGGTGCTGTTGAGTCGTTCTGACTCATAGTGACCCTATGTACAACAGAACGAAACACTGTCCGGCACTGCACCATCCTCATGATCATCGTTAGGCTTGCGCCCACTGCTGCAGCCACTGTGTGATTCCAGCTCGTTCAGTTGTGTTATAGTGCTCCACAACCACCTAATACCAGACCAAATTATGTTTTACAGTTTATTTCCAACAGAATATAGGAAACTTTACTGACATGCTTATACTATAAATTATTCACAAAATTCTGATTAGGATATATATTTTTAACATAGTCAAATACAAATGCTGATAACTGCACGGACAATTGGCCTAAAACTTCATAATCTTCACTTGTACGGATTATAACATAGTCATGTATATATTGAAATTTCGAACCTGGAAAACTATATTGGTTTTTATACCAACAAATAGCATGTTATTTAACTCAGTGAAAAGTGACAGACTAAAATGATTTGAAATTATAAACTTTGTGGGTATTATTTTTAGCAGAATTTTGAAAAACCTGTAAATATATAAGCTACGTCCTAATCATACAATTTAAACTCTCATAAATTTATCACTGTTTCCTTCTACATATCCCCTTCTAGCCTTTCAGTTCAAATTCTCTTACTGAAAGGATTAGAGACAGATCAAGTTTTACGATCTATGCTGTCTCAGGCCTCTACACATAATTCTGCTAGAGCAGTTATCCCACTATATGGTTATTACATGCAGTCTTCCCCAGCGACTGGGAACACCTGTAGGAAAGAGATTATGTCTCACTCATCTAGATATTTCCCAGCATCCAATACAGTGCCTGGACATAATTTTTAAATAAAAAGCTTAAATAAAAATGACACTGGCTTTAGTAAACCAATCCTCCTATATTTATAACAACAATCTAAAAGAAGACTATTCACATAGAGCTTAGGAAGCTAAAATGCAGATAAGCTTACAGTTAAGGTCTGTGTACTTGCCCTCCAAAGCTTGCACATATGCTTCATACTGCTTCCACCTAGTAAAAAAATAAATTTGTATGTTAGCTGTTAAATAAAATGCCTTCTATTAAGTATAGCAGAAAATCACATCCATGAACTTAATATTGAGAATTTCATGGGATGATCTTTAAAGTCTTTTCCAATTTTGATAATTATTATAAATCTATTTTAATCAAAAACTAGTCACTTCATTTTTCCTTCTCAATTTACAGAGATAGGTCGGAGGAGATACACAGAGAAAAGTGTTCTATACTGACAATACAGTAAGTGAGGTCCTTAGGTCAGACCGCACGCCTTATTCACTTTTGTATCACTGATGCTTAGTGCAAAGCCCAGAATACAGAAGAAGTGGAATAAAAATCATACAGTTTTAAAAAAAACTTACTACTACTATCAGACATAGTCGCCACCTAAACCAAAAGGCATGTAAGAAATGTTTATGAGACCGAGGGTACTCTATCTTGGCTCTTTTATGAAAATAGCACATGACTCTCTCAAAGTATTATTTATTTTAGCAGTAAAAAAAGAGGAAAGAGTATTTTTCAAGACTATATTTTTAAAACCAAATCTAGTTAGCAGAAACAACTTGTATATATTCCATATGCTATCAGGGTATGAAGGGCCCTTCCTTCCTCATTATATTTCTTCTCAATAAATGCCAAGCTGCTCTTGGCATTTACAGCAGGTAAACAGAAGCTTTTCGCAGTCTTATGTTTAAGTTACTGTTACTGGAGAGTACCCTGCCCTAAATGTCTGCTATCCTGCTTGCTTAAAAGATATTTTTTCAAGCTGCTCTTCAGTTACAGCTAACCAAAATTAACCTCAGATTTTGAAAAACTTCTTATAATCTTAAAACATTAAAAACATTGAGAGCTTTCCTATGAGGGTTTATTAATATTATAAAATAATGAATAAAACAGTATTTCCTAACACACTAAGCTAATCTACGTTTGTTTTTTTTTTTTTAAAAACATTGTGCTTTAAGTTACAGCTCAAGTTAGTTTCTCATACAAAAATTTATACACACATCGTTGTGTGACCCTAGTTGCTATCCCTATAATGTGGCAACGCATTCTTCCTTTCCACCCCTGGATTTCCCATGTGCATTCAACCAGCTCCTGACCCTCTCTGCTTTCTCATCTTGCCTCCAGACAGGAGCTGCCCTGTCTCGTGTATCTACTTGAACTAAGAACGTTCTTCACAAGTTTATCATTTTAAGCCGTATAGTCCAGTCTAATCTTTGTATGAAGAGTTGGCTTCGGGAATGGTTTTAGTTCTGGGTTAACAGAGAGTCTGGGGATCATGTCTTCTGGGATGTCTCCAGTCTCAGTCAGACCATTAAGTCTGCTCTTTTTACTAGAATTTGAGTTCTGCACCCCACTTCTCTCCTGTTCCGTCAGGGACCCTCTGTTGTGTTCCCTGTCAGGGCAGTCATTAGTGGTAGCCGGGCACCATCTAGTTCTTCTGGTCTCAGGCCGATGGAGTCTCTGGTTTATGTGGTCCTTTCTGTCTCTTGGGCTAATACTTTCCTTGTGTCTTTGGTGTCCTTCCTTCTCCTTTACTCCAGGTGGGCTGGGACCAATTGATGCATCTTAGATGGCCACTCGCTAAGCTAACTCATGCTTGTTTCTATGCCTCCTCCAACCTAGGGCACACATAGGGGCACATTAAATGTTTGAGGATGGATAAATAAAGGTCTTTTATGGATGCTACATGAGAACAGTTTGTTTTAGAGGAACAGAAAAATATAGAAGCTCAGTGAAGAACATCTTCATCAAGAGGATAGAAAACACAGACTTGTTAAATAAGTAGCAGTTGGTTTAAAAATCACAAAGGACATTAAGAGAAAAAAAAAATTCACCTAAAAGTCTTAAATACAAATTCCCTAGAGAAACAAGTTAAACGTGCCTCAAGGATATGAAATGTACATGCTGTAAGAATCCTTAAAGGTAATTTAATTTTTAAATAATGCTACTGAGATTTTTTTTTCAATTTTTTATTGTACTTTAGATGAAGGTTTACAAAATAGTTTCTCATTAAACAGTTAGTACACGTACTGTTTTATGACATTGGTTAACAACCCCACATGTCAACACTCTCCCTTCTCGACCTTGGGTTCCCTATTACCAGCTTTCCTGTCCCCTCCTGCTTTCTAGTCCTTGTCCCTGGGCTGTTGTGCCCCATTAGTCTCATTTTGTTTTATGGGCCTGTCTAATCTTTGGCTGAAGGGTGAACCTCGGGAGTGACTTCATTTCTGAGCTAAAAGGGTGTCCAGGGGCCATACTCTCGGGGTTTCTCAGTCTCTGTCAAGCCAGTAAGTCAGGTCTTTTTTTGTGAGTTAGAATTTTGTTCTCCATTCTTCTCCAGCTCTGGCCGGGACCCTCTGTTATGATCCCTGTCAGAGCAGTCAGTGGTGGTAGCCGTGGCAGTTGTGGTCCATTAGTCCTTTGGACTAATCTTTCCCTTGTGTCTTTAGTTTGCTTCATTCTCCCTTGCTCCCGAAGGGGTGAGACCAGTGGAGTATCTTAGATGGCTACTCACAGGCTTTTAAGATCCCAGATGCTACTCACCAAGGTAGAATGTAGAACCTTTTCTTCATAAACTATGTTATGCCAACTGAGCTAGATGTTCCCCGAGACCATGGTCCCCACAGCCTTCCACCCAGGAATTTGGTTCCTCAGGGAGTTTGGATGTGTATGTGGAGTTTCTATAACCTTGCCGTGTACAAGTTGTGCTGGCCTCCCCAGTACCGTGTACTGTCTTACCCTTCACCAAAGTTAACTTATCTATTTAGTGTCTCTCCCCATTCCTCCCCTCCCTCATTAACCATCAAAGATGATTTCTTTTTGTGTGTAAAACTTTTCACGAGTTTTTATAGTAATGGTCACATACAGTATTTGTCCTTTTGTGATTGACTTATTTCACTCAGCCTACTGCCCTCCAGATTCATCCACGTTATCAGATGCTTCGCAGATTCATCGTTGTTCTTTATCGTTGCATAATACTCCATTTTGTGTATGTACCATAGTTTGTTTATCCATTCATCTGCTGATGGGCAACTAGGTTGTTTCCATCTTTTTGCTATTGCGAACAACGCTGCAATGAACATGGCTGTGCATACATCTGTTTGTGTGACGGCTCTTACTTCTCTAGGATATAGTCCTAAGGAGTGGGGACCGCTGGATCATACAGTGGTTCTATTTCTAGATTTCTAAGGAAGCACCATATTATTTTCCAAAATGGTTGTATCGTTTTGCATTCCCACCAGCAGTGCATAAGAGTTCCCATCTCCCCACAGCCCCTCCAACATTTGTTATTGCCGGTTTTTTCTGATTAGTGCCAGTAATGCTGGGGTGAGATGGTATCTCATTGTGGTTTTGATTTGCATTTCGCTAATGGCTAGTGATCATGAGCATTTCCTCATGTGTCTGTTGGCCGCTTGAATGTCTTCTTTGATGAAGTGTCTGTTCGTTTCCTTTGTCCACTTTTTAGTTGGACTGTCTTTTTATTGTAGAGGTGGTATTGAGATTTTTTTTTAAAGATTATAGTACTTATTATTCTCCCTAGAGTTAAATCAAGAAAAAGATAGCACAACTATTGCCCTGAGATAATCTTTAAAACTTAAACCAAAAACACCTCCAGAAGTCTTAAAACCAAAGTTTAGCTTAACTAGTAAAAAATGCCTGCCTTGAGCATTATGCTCGTTTAAGAACTATCTATATGGGATCAAATTAACAACTTGAAAGATTAGATAAGAACCTTAGGGGGCAGCAATTTATGTTAATGGGGGAGGAACACCTCAGCAAATGAGGGTGAGTAGAGAATTACTGCACAAATCAGTGTCACTAAATGGTCCATGTAGAAAACTGCGGAATTAGTATATGTGTTGCTGTGTATATTCTCATCAACAGAAGAAAAGAAAAAGATAGCATAGGTTAACCAAAGGAATTATCTAAGAAAAGATAAAAGACAAGGAGTGTACCATATCAGAGGTGCAAAAAGAACATCGACATGTGAGTGGTAGCATGTCACAGGCAGGCATCTACTCCGCAGGAGAGGACAAGGATGCTGTAGAGTACTAAGGATTGAAACTTTATCTCCAAGATAAAGGCAGGCAATGAAAAACTATCCTACGCGTGAAATTATCGCAAAAGAAGATACAGAGTAGCTACATATGAGTGAGGGCAGGAGATTACTAGACTTTATGAAACATTGGAACACGCTATTTCTTTGTCTATTTTACAAAACACCTTTTCCTTCCCCTACTTTCAGCCTGTTAAATTTACTTAGGTTCTTCAAATAAAAATTCACTGAAATTTCTAGAGGAAATATAGAGTTCAATGACTTTACAAACGCTGCCCTGAAAATGATTCCTTTTATTTTAATCTAAAAGTTATGTAAAAAGCTTACCAACCATAGTAATGAAATGCAAAAATTCTATTTAAAATTACAAACACAAAATATATGTACTTTCCCATTTTCTGATTCTTTACATTTAAAAAATAAATACTATAATGTTATCCTTGACAATGTGGTTTTATAAGACATTTATAAGATGACCACAGAAATCGCGAACTGGAAGAAACCTTTTAAACAATTTAATCCAACCCTTTTAGTTCACAGATGAGAAAATGAAAACTATGAAATTAATTAAAACAGTCGAACAATGTCACAGCTACTGAGAAAGAATAATTTACATTAATTACTAAATAAAGTGTTTCTTCCATAACTAGGACTACAATTTGTTTTCAAATATTAAAAACAAATGGAAAAAACACTGACATCAAAACAAGTCTACAAGTGTGTTTAACTGAGTGCTTCCTAAAGGCAGGATCTTAAGATTACACATTGCTCTCCCCCATAGCAAGCTGCACACATGAAGTACAAATGCTTTTCAAGTAAAAATTCTGAACATCTTGTTTCTACAAAAGAAAAAATTCAGGTTACTGGATAGTCTAAGAAGTTACCCAAGCTAGTTCTTTAGTGCGTTAGTGTTATGTTTTCCTCAGTGGTTACATATTGAAGAAACAGGTCATAGGAAATATGTTCAAAAAGCACACTAAATGATTTGAGGATATATTAAGATAAAAAATAAAACAAAGACAAATATTATAATATAGCCAGGTACAAAACTCTATAGAAAGATTTTCGTATTTTCGATAAAAGAACATTTTACCTTAGAATTGAGTTATCTCATACCCTAACTTTGAAGTCTGTTAGAGGTTGGTATAGTAGACTCAGAATACAATGCTCTATAGAACAATTTTTGATAAAAAAAATTTTACCTTAGAATTAACTCATCTCGTGCCATAACTTTGAAGTCTGTTTCACTCAGTCGAACCTATAAAAAGAGGAAAATGAAAACATGGGGTGCTCTACTTCCTAAAAAATTTAAATATTAAAATACTAACATTTATGCTCTTTATATTTTTACGAGGACGGGATCATTTTTTTTTTTTAAATTACTCTTCAGATGAAGGTTTACAGAACAAAGTAGTTTCTCATTAAACAATTAATACACATTGTTTTGTGACACCTGTCACCAACCCCATGATGTGTCAACACTCTCCCGTTCTCGACCTTGGGTTCCCCCTTATGAGCTTTCCTGTCCCCATCTACCTTTTCGTCCTTGCCCCTGGCCTGGTGTGCCCCTTTAGTCTCGTTTTATGGGCCCGTCTAATCTATGGCTGAAGGGTGAACCTCAGGAGTGACTTCACTACTGAGTTAAAAGGGTGTCCGGGGGCCGTACTCTCAGGGTTTCTCTAGTCTGTTAGACCAGTAAGTCTGGTCTTTTTTTGTGAGTTAGGAATTTGTTCTACATTTTTCTCCAGCTCTGTCCAGGACCCTCTATTGTAATCCCTGTCAGAGCAGATGTCGGTGGTAGCCAGGCACCATTTAGTTGTGCTGGACTAGGATCATTTTTTTTTTTTTTTTAATGTGCCAACACAACGTCCACACTTAAAATTCAATGATGTTGATTACATTTTTCATGTTATGCCACCACTACTGTTATCCTTTTCCAAAATATTCCACCACCATTAACTCAATGCCCCCCAAACAAAAACTCCCCCTTTCCCCTTCCGTCCTACCCCTGGTAACTATTAAACAGTTTTTGGTTTCTAAATATTTGCTTATCTCATGTAAGTGAGATCATATAGTACTTGTCCTTCTGTGACTGATTATTTCAGCACGTTTTCATTTTTCACGGTTCATCCATGTTGTGGCATGCACCATAACGTCATTTCTCTTTACAGCTGTGTGATATTCCACCTTTGTTGACCATTTCAGTTGTTACTATCTTTTGGCTACTGTGAAACATGCTGCAATGAACACTGGCATACAGGTTTCTGTTTTGTACTCCTGCCTTCACTTTTACAGGGCATAAACCTAGGACTGGAATTGATGGCTCATATGGTAAATTCTACGTTCAACTTCTTGAGGAACCACCGAACTGTCTTTCGCAGTGGCTGCACCATTTTACATTCCCACCAGCAATGGATAAGGGTACTAGTTTCTCCACAACCTTGCCACACTTGTTTTCAGGATCATCACTTTTAATCCCTCAACTGCCAGTTGCTGTTATCCCAAAAGGTGCTCTATACTTGAAACATCTGAACCCTCCCGGAGTTTGAGACTTAAATGGCTCATTATGTAGTGTCATTTTTTTTATTGGAAAGAAGTTTTTAAAAGGTGAACTATTTGGTATCTTAAAAATGGGCATCATTATTTGGGAAATGCAAATCAAAACCCCAATGAGATATCACTACAGGCTTATTAGAATAGCTAAAATAAAAAAATAGCGGTGACATCAAATACTGGCAAAGATGTGGAGAAACTCATACACTGCTGGAAGGAACATAAAATGGTACAACCAATCTGAAAAATAGTTTGACAGTTCCTTTTGAAACTAAAAATAGATATATCATACCACCTAGCAATCTTGAGCATTTATCCCAAAGAAATGAAAACTTATTTTCACACAGAAACTTGTATACCAATGTTCAGAGCAGCTTTATTCATAATAGCTAAAAACTGTCCTTCAAATGTTCATCAACAGGTGAACGGTAAAACAAACAATGGTTGATGCATACCGCGGACTACCACTCAGCAATAAAAAGAAATAAACTATTGATACATGCAGCAACTTGGATAAACCTCAAGAAATTATGCTGAGTGAAAAAAGCCAATCTCAAAAGGATACATACTGCATAATTTCATTTATGTTTAACAATCATGAAATAACATAATTACAGAGATAAAGAAAAGATTAGTGGTTGCCAGGGGTTAGGATGGCGAGGCAAGGGGTGGCTACAAGGGCATAGCACAAAGAAGGCCTGTGACGATGGCTCAGTTAAGCATCTTGATTGTGGTGGTGGTTACATAGTGCTCCACATGCGATAAAATTGCACAGAGCTACACACACACACACACACGTTTGGTGAAATGTGAATGTTGTTGTCAGTGCTGCTGAGTTGATTCTGACTCATGGCAACCCCATGTGTGCAGAGTAAAACTGCTCCATAGGGGTTTTTAAGGCTGTGACCTTCCAGAAGCAGATTGCCAAGGCCTGTCTTCTGAGCCAGCTATGGGTGGGTTCTAACCACGTGGTTCAACCTTTTGGTTAAGTCCAGTGCTTAACCATTTGGGCCAACCAAGGACTCCGGAAACTTGAATAAACTCTGGGATGTATCAGTGTCAATTTCCTGGTTTTGATGCTGTTACCAAGATGTGTAATAGTTATGCAAGATGTTATCCCTGGGGGAGGCTAAGAGAGGGGTGCACAGGACCTCCCCATACCTTTCTTTATAACTTCCTGTGAATCTGTAATTATTTCAAAATAAAAGTAATTAAAAATGGGCATAATATTCTAGGTAACTGCAACTGCCTTCTAAATTGAGAAATACTGTTTTCCCTATACCAAATGAAGACTGTAAAGGTGAGACACTTACTTTAGCATTAAATTAAGGCTTTACTAGTTTCTCTTAGAAGATACTTAAAAGTCTTCTCCTTATAAAAATGTCTCAAACTGTAATATTAATCAGTAGTAGTATTATAAAATAGAATTGGGGAAACCATTATGCCAGAATATATTAAAAAAACTAACAGAGGAAGCACACAGTAATGCTCAGATTACTAAAGTACAGTTCTTTGTTCGTTTCATGAAAAATTTGACTCTAAGGCAGAAATTTCCACAGCACTTATCGGAATCGACTCGATGGCAACAGGTTTGGTTTGGTTTTAATCTAAATTGTTCACTTAAATATTCACTGTTTAGTAAGCATATACCCTGTTTTCCAAACTGAAATTACAAATTCCTCTTAGAAACAATGTTACTTTGTATCCTTGGTGGCACAGTGGTTAAGCGCTCGGCTGCCAACTGAAAGGTGGGCAGTTCGAATCCACCAGGTGCTCCCTGGAAACCCTACGGAGCAGTTCTACCCTGTCCCATAGGGTCTTTTGTTCTCTCTCTCTCTCACACACACACACGTATATATATATATTAGTGACTAAACTGAATTTATATAGGATGAAGAAGGAAGAAATTAAGACTAGAAAACAAAACAGCAGAAACGGTAGACTCTATGATCACAACAGTCCGATAGTATTGTGCATGGGGTCACCGTGAGTTGGAGGTCAACTCTATGGTGGCTAATAACAGCAAGGTAAGTAATTAGCTGTGATCTTTTCTTGAAAACTAGAAGTGGCTTTAAATTACAACAAACAGGATTTAAATTAGAGGGAAAAAAGTAATTTACAAGAATGGTGTAGTACTCTCATTTATTGACAGCCTTTGTAGATATGCAGCTGAAAGTACTTGTGTAATAAAGACTAAGAGTAGACCATGAGAATATCATTGCAACAGAAGTTTTCCAAGAGCTGAAAATATTCTACAACTATATGGCATACAAGATATAATATCTAGTACACTGTAAACCCATAATGCTATTATTGTGCTAAAGGCAAGGGATAAACAATAAACAATGAAGATAATCCCTTCAGCTCTATTTTAACACTTCAAAACAGCTTAATGACTGCTAAAAAACATACCTTTTTGGGAAGAGGTTCTTCGTTGGTCATCTTGAATCTTAAAAAAAAAAAGGAAAGAGGAGAAGAGGTTCAAATGATTCTTTCAGTTAAGGCAGAAAAAAAATACTGGCTCTTTCAAACAATTGTTATTAGTAAACTAAGTTATAGTCAAATCATTAGGTTATTTTCTAATTTAAATAAACCTTTCATTTTAGAATAGTTTTAGATTTACAGAAAATTGTAAAGACAGTACACTGAGTACCCATATATTCCACATCTAGCTTCCCTTTCTTTTTTTTTTTTAACATCTTACATTACTACGGTCATTAGGTCAATTTTCTAAATTCCCTTCCGATGCTGCCATGCTTTTACCCACTAACTTAATGTTAGTTTCGGAGTTAAAGGGTCAAAAGAAATATAATTTTTCAATATACTCTTCCAATTCCTTCATGAAAGACAAATCTTGAAGCAGAAGTGACAGATTTGTGCTGAAGCCAGATACTGACTTCAGACAGTAAGTATCCCAGGCATCTTGCTGGAAGGCTACAGAAAGGTAGCATCGATTGCTAAGCCCTTCCTTTTATAGCATCATGATAATTCATTACTGCCCAACAGTTGTGCATTATTACAGCTTAATGAAAATATCCCTACACTCCTGAATTCCACACCACAGAAAAATCTGTATCTCAAAGTTAAGATCCTATAGCTTCTTCATAGGAGTGTTGGTGGTGCAGTGCTTAAGTGCTCAGCTGCTAATCGAAAGGTCGGAAGTTCGAACCCACCAGCCACTCTGCGGGGAAAAAAATGTGGCAGTCTGCTTCTATAGAAATTTACAGCCTTGGAATCCCTATGGGGCAGTTCTACTCTGTCCTGTAGAGTTGCTGAGCCAGAATTTGACTCGATGGCAATGGGTTTTGGTTTGGTTATATCATCTTCACAGAAATTTACACAAGAACACTTAACTCTGTTGCAAAAGGTTAATGAGTTCAAAGTAGACAGAACCACTGGATTATGCTTATTTGCCTTACATAACGAATGTCAATAGCAGTTATTATATACTAAGCTACAAATTCATAAACAAAAAAGCTTAAAAAGTAGAAAGAGCTTATAACAAACATGCCTTGAGTACTACATTTAATATACAAGATTTTTAAAACGTATACAATAGGCAGGTACAGCTAACCTAGCAAAAACTGTACGAAAATTCTATGAACACTATTTACATCAAGTTTTGGGTGCCAGTACTGTTTTTAAAAAAAGTATCTAAATTGTGTTCTGGAATAGTAAGTTATACAAATTAAGAAATTAGTTCTTATACTGAAAATATTTCTGTTACTTTCCAATACTCAAATTTAACATGGAAACAAGCAAAACTAAATAGCTAATTTGAAGTTATTTCTCTTGTTGTTAGGTGCCGCGTAGTGGGTTATAACTCTGTGTACAACAGAACAAAGCACTGCCGTGTCCTGCACCAGTCTCACAATTGTTATGCTTGAGCCCACTGTTGCCGCCACTGTGTCAACCCATCTCGCTCACAGTCTTCCTCTTTTTCAATGACCCTCTACCAAGCATGATATCCTTCTCTCCACAGACTGATCCCTCCTGATAACATGTCTAAAGTATGTGCGACAAAGTCTCACCATCCATGCTTCTAAGGAGCATTTTGGCTGTACTTCTTCCAAGACAGATTTGTTTGTTCTTTTCGCAGTCCGTGGTATATTCAGTATTCTTCGCCAACACCATAATTCAAAGGCGTCAATTCTTCTTCGGTCTTCTTTATTCACTGCCTAGCTTTCGAACGGATATGAGGCAACTGAAAACACCATGGGGCTTGGGTCAGACACACCTTAGTCTTCAAGGTGACATCTTTGCTTTTTAACACTTTAAAGAGGTCTTTTGTAGCAGATTTGCCCAATTCAATGTCTGATTTCTTGACTGCTCATTCCATGGGTGTTGACTGTGGATCCAAGTAAAATGACATCCTTGACAACTTCAATCTTCTCTCCGTTTATCATGCTGCTTGTTTCTAGGTAAGATTATTTTTAATAGCGGATTCATAAATATTCCCTTATATTCTTACTTTTCCATAGGTTGTATTACCTATTCCTACTTACTACAAATTTGACCCAAAAATTTATAGTATATAACTGAGTTTTTAAAAGCTATTTGACGTTTTAGCGAGTATATGCAATTCCTCACTAGATGACCTTCCAATACCTTTTTTCAATACTACATACAAACCCAACTCTACTTTATAAATCAGATATTCTAATCATACTGCCATTAAACCCTGGTTTTCGGATTCGGTACACTGTACTGAAGCAATCAGAATGTTTTATAAAAAAATAATAAATTTATCTTAAGTTTGTAGCTTAGTTCTTTTCTTTAATCATGTTGAAATTCTGAACAACCAATGCCTATGAAACCATGACTATATTGCTATTGACTTAAAGTCTGTATATTTTTCCATTTTCTTCTTTGAATTGGTCTCTGCCTACCTTTTGTAACTTGCTGCCCAGTTTGTAATCTCTGTTGAAGTTATATTAAGCTGTCTGTATTAATCTGGTAGCAGTGATTCCAATCATTTGGGAGACCCTCCACACCATGTTTATCTCGAAAAAACAAAGCAGAATCACTTCTTGTCTAATGGATTCTGGCTCATGCCGACCTAAGCACCTAAGTAAGAGTAGAACTGCGCTCCACAGGCTTTTCAATGGCTGTGATTTTTGGAAGCAGATCTCCAGCCCATTCTTCTGAAGGGTGTTTGGGTGGTTTAGAACTGCCAAACCTCCTGGTTAGTAGCCAAGCACTTAACTATTTGTGCCATCCAAGGACTCCTTGCTTATCTCCATAGAGTTCTAAACGTTTCTATTTTAGCATGATTTTAATGTGTATTCACTGCAAACTTAAAATCCAAAAATCAAGCCTGCCATTTCCATGGACTTCTCCATTTGTTCAGAGCTAAACATAGTAGGTAAGCATCAATAATTTTTTTAATTAAAAAAAAAAAGGACATAATTAGTCTTCTGAACTGTATGTATATAAGTATGTGCTTGTATATAAATGTGTCACTGTTCTGGTTAAATCTTTCTAAAGTCTTCCCTTCTCACTAGTAACAGTATACAGCTGTCCTTTGCTATCCCCTCATATTGGGCTTCGTAGCTATTATCACAGCATGACACTTAAAGCTTGTTAAACGCAAGTATGAACAAATTTACTTCAGTTACTAGTAAAATCACTAAAGTGGGATAATGAGCCAATTTAACTTTTTTCCAGAATCAATCAAGATGATCATACTATTGCAGAAAATTTTCAGAATATGGAACTCAACAGTTACCATGGTAGAGTTCTATCAGTGATGGCCTGAAAACAAATTTATCATCAAAGCCAGGTATTCTACCTATTATCTAGCCTTTGGGTATCCTAGTTATTCAGTACGTAGAATACTAGTTAGAAAACATTAAGTATCATGTGTGTTATTCAATACAGATTAAATCCCAATTTATAAACTTTAATATATGCTTCTACAATCCCTAGGTTTGCTTGTTCATTAATAAAGGTAGATAATCAAATTCTTATTCTGTTAAATTAAAAATAACTGCAAGGTTAAGTAGCAACATGTAAATGCTATTTTGAAAGGGCATTTAAAGGACTGGGAAGCATATGAAGAAGTTCTGAGAGCCCTGGTTTTTGAGAAGAGAGTTGCTACCCTTGAAAAGAAAATAAAGTGGCAGAATCTCTGAGCCTCTTTCCCCATCTTAAAAAGGATCGACACCACCAAGGCACAAAATTGAGCTATTTTTGAAGATTTTAGCATGGTGACTGGCAAAAAATAGGCACTTAATTTCTTTCTCCCCATTAAAAAACAAAGACTCTCAATCACCGCTTCCTGAAGATCCTGAGGGGAGATTTCACAGGTTGAGGGTAACAATCATAATGTTCTTCTTTGTTTCTAAGCCCCTCTGCAGAGTCTTGGTAATCTCCAATTATCAGATTCTGAATCTTAACAGCAAGTTACTTTTAAACGTCTAATGTTGGCTTATGTTCTCTTTCCTTTTAAAAAGTTTGATGTTGGATAGATTTTAATTACATATTGCTGAGAATATATCCATATTTTCCTAATGAGAATAAATTTCTGAATATGTACTGGAAGTCATGGACAAATATAGAGTTTGTATAAATGTTTGCACTTCACAGGTCAATCAGCGCCCAGTCATTCTACATGCTATGGAATAGCTGATTTGGGAAATACAGAGCATTATCATTCAGAAAGATAATCCTCCCTTATGTTTAGCTGATGGAAAGGCGATCTTCCTTGAGACTCCACAGTTTGCCAAAATAGTTAAATGCACAGTCTGGCAAAGGCAAATTAGTACAGGTGTAAACTTTAAAAGCACTCACAACATTCAACTATTTAGCCAAAATAGACCCTAATTTTCAATTGACTTTCGTGTTGCATGAATGTGCTAAGACACGTATTATTCCCTAAGGCAAGACTTTATTTTTTTAAGCACAACTGAGAAGAAGAATAATAACCATCTAAAGTCAATTCTAGATTCATAAAAAGACGATGGATATTCCAGGCGTCTGGCTTTACTTCTTAAAAAAGTATTCTCATATCAGAAAAACAGAATAACTGAAATGAAATTAGTCTAAAAAGTACTTTGAGTTGAATCCTGAATCTTTAAGGGAAAAAATGAAGAATATTTAATAGTATTCAGTGCTTATGCGTCTCAATTAATAATTACAATTTTTCAAAATCAATGATAACTTCCATTTTCCAGATGATTGAATTATTAGATGATTAGTTCAGGTTAAAACAGCTATTCATTAATAATAGGACTCAGTGCCTCTCAAAAATTAGTAACTGGTGGAATAGTTAATGGCGATGGCGGAACAACATAATGGACATATTTGAGGTCACTGAACCGTACATGCCAAGACTGTTGAAATGGCAAATGTTTTATTACCTATATATTTACCACAATAAAAACGAGTAACTGATGAAGATGATAATTCTCCCACTCTGCCTATCCCCTGTAATGATTAAGTTTAGCTAGTGAAACTAGAGAATATAGAAATAAAGAAAAGCAAAATAGAAAAAATTCAAAATTGGCCAATATGTCTACCTTTCATCAGGCTGAAGGTAACTGGTTAAAACATGGTTTTAAAACCATGTAAAGGTTTCAGTTATTTAATTCAGAGATAATATACCTCAAGTTTAGAATGTCAGAACCACCATCTACTCTTGATGCCTTGACACTAAAAAACAGCTTATGACAGGGAGTTCAGTTTTGGTTGGTGGGGTGCCTAGCATCCCAGATCTCAACAGTTCCCTGGCTCTTAGCATTATGATCCTAAGTTATGCAACTCAGTTCTCTCTCAACAGAAAGGTAGGCACCAATAACTTCAATAAGGAAGTATGTACATGGCTGAAGCTAATCACAACTGAACATAAGAAACCAACACCCTGCGTTAGCCTTGGCACTGTAGTAGAAAGGACACCAGTTAGGAATTGGAAGCCACCTCTTACTAACTCTTCTATCAGCCATGTGATCTTGAACAAGTCTCTTACCTCTCTGGGATACAGTTTCCCAATCAGCAAAAAAGGAGATACAAATTTTGCCTACCACACAGAGTGCTAGAAATCTCAATGCTTTCAATGCCATAAAAATGCTACACAAACAAGGGATTTTTTAAAAAAATAAGATACTAATATAAACATAAACGGTAACTTTAATGTGCATTTAAGAAACATAGGTTTTGCTTTGCTAAAGAGCCCACCAACATAATATTTAAGGTAATACATAAAAAACCCAAAACTAAACCCACTGCCATTGAGTCGACTCCAACTCATAGCGACCCTACAGGACAGAGAACAGCCCCACAGGGTTTCCAAAGAGCGGCTGGTGGATTTGAACTGCTGACCTTTTGGTTAGCAGCCAAGCTCTCAACCACTGTGCCACCAGTGCTCCAAGGTAATATATATAGTTATAAAAGTGGGAATCGACTAGACTGCAACAGGTTTGGTTTTGGTTTTATAAAAATTATCAAGATTGCTAAGTAAACAATATTTCGAAGGGAATTCTATACTACATACATACAAGACTATAAGTGGCTTTGAAAGCTGTAATGTGCTATAAAAACATAATTACTACAACTCTCATCTCCATATCAGGAAGCTACCATACGTTTTCTACATCATATATACTAACTCATTTTTGGCCAATACAACACAAAAGTATCTTGAGCAAACATGACTCAAAATTAGAAAAACTAGATACTACGGATTTCTATAAATTAGATGAATCAGGTAAAAGTCAGCAGTGCCTGGGACACACTAGCATTACTACTTTCATCCTTTAGGACTCAGCGCCCCTCCCCAAAGTGGAGTGTGTGAAAATACCGATTGTTAAGAAATCTGCTTAAGACAAGGCAAGATCTAAAAGCACTCTAGAAATACGTCTACCCAAACCTTAAATTTTAGCCTCAACTTTGTCGGCAAGCCACGCTGTGGACTGCAATTTCTTTCCTCAACTTGCCTGATCAGATGCTAGTGAATAACACAATTAAATAAATGAAATTTAGCAATCCTAAGAAGACTTTCTCACGTAGTTTAACGGGGTGATAGACCTGTGACTTCCATACAGCAATGGAATTAACTAAATTCAAAGGGACAGAAAACAGAATGAAATAGGTATTAAAAAAACTCAAAATTGTAACATGCTCTTCGAAGTATTTTTCCACCTCGGGCAAAATAATCGTTTTTTTAATTTTATAATCACGGTAAATTCGAATTGTAACACAGTTCCTTTGGGATCAAACATCCAAATGACTTCCTTCACCATCAAAACAAGGACTTGGGCTTTTCCGCTGTATGTTCCCCACTGACTTATAAAAAATGGTAAAAAGATCCTTTAATAACAGTCTTCCAGGAATCTAAGATGAAACTTAAAATTTTGAAATACTTCAATATAGTACCGTTTCCTTACCCCGAATGCATGCCAATCATTTAAAAATGGATGCCTACAGGAGAATGTACCTGCAGTCATAACCTACTGCGTGATACGAGGTGTAACCAACGAATGCTGATTTTTCCCCCGGCAGAAATGGTCGGGGCCGCCGGCCTCGCGATCGGCCGAGGGAGGCGGGAGGAGAAGCCGCGGCGGGGAGGCCCGGGGAGGGCGGCTCCAGCTCCGTGAGGACCGCGCGCCTCCTCCGCCGAGGATAGCGCGCCCGGCCTCCAGCCGAGGACAAGGGAAATAGCCTTGGGGTGGCGGGAGGGCTGCGCTAACGGAGGCCAGCCCGCC